ACATTTGACACAGCCAGTATAATGAAGTCAATCAAAAACACTGATATCATATAGACAAGTCTTTCTATGTATCATTTACAACTGTATAAATCATTACCAAGTGGCAGTGATTTGTGTGATTTTTAAAATGACATGCAGTGAATATTCCTCATCACATTGCTCACTTCATTACACCTTTAAGCCAAGCTTCAGCAGACAACAATCATCAACATATTATAATAAAGAACTATATTTCCACAAGTGGAGAAATGACAACTGAGGTTTGGGAGCATAATACTCAGGATGTGAAATGTATCTTAGATATTTGTTATTTGTTAAACATTATTTCTGGAGCTTTCTTTTACATATTTAAGAGTTAAACATTGAACACTTCTGGCTTGTTTGGATGAATTCAGAAAAGCATAGCCCAAAGGCTCGTAAGTGTTTTGACATTTAGCCCTCAGTGCAGAAAGGGAGAGGCTTTTCCTACTATCCTTATTATCGTTATATCATATTATGTATAGCTGCATTACAGTCCCAGTTCCAAATCTTTGACTTTTTAAAATAATATATTTTTTAAATATTATGCAGTTTTGTTCCATTTTATTTCAAGTTTACAGATCCTCCCTTCATTACATACTGGAAGGTTTTGGCTTTGCTAGACTATAACTTGATTATAACAAATTATTTAAAAACAAATGTGCTGTTCAATCTGAAAGTAGTTTTAAGTCTCTAAACCTTACTTGCTGTGTTCCTCAGCTCAGCATTGTTTCCCTGTTTTCCTCACTGTACAGATCTCTGCATTCTGGGGAGGAAATTATTTATATGGTCAGTGTCAGTTGATCATTGATTTGGTAATTACATGTTTCCCCTTGAGGCTGGGATAACTGATATACAAGGCCAATGCTAAAGGGGAGGTCTCTCAGTCTGTTATCCATGACTTATGGCTAATTTGACTCTCCTAGATAGCCCTCTTTTCTCTGCCAACGGCTGTTCAACACAACAAACACTCAAATGCGAGTATCATCTTTCTCCCTGGAGAATAGCACACACAGAGAAACCCTGAATGTGGTGGCAGACCGTTGAAACAATTTCATTGCTGACAACAGAGAGTAATAAACTACTGATTTCTGCCTGTTGTAACAACCATCTATGTGCCCCGGGCAGTTAGGTCTTTTGAAACATAATTGGTGTTTGGGTTTTTTTGTACCATCAGATTTCATAAATTAAACCTTTAAGAGGCTGACAACTTTGATATGTAAAAGTGGCCCTTCTGCCCATGCAGTGCTTGGATATTCTTAATTTTATTTACACACTGGACTTGATATCTGCATTGCAATCTGGAGAGCAATCTGAAAATGAGGGTGCCATGAATTTTTAAGATCTGCTTTATTACTGTCCAATCCAATTTTTAAAGTGACAAGATTTGATTTGTTTGAATCTGTGTTTATTGGTCTTATTTTGTGTTCTACTCGGTGAGTGGAGCCTTTAGAGTTAGCAATGATCGTTTGAATGAACTACTCTGTTTAGACAAGCAATAAAAACATAAATTAGCAAACGACTTTCCCCTTCCTCAACCACAGGCATTTATAGCTAACTAGCACTCAATTTCCCCAAAGTATTTTGTCTTTTAGCCTGAACAATAACAATAAATTCAGATTATTAAATGTTGCATTAAATCACAGGAGAGTAACGAAGTGAGAGCATGAATGGGGTAAGTCAGTGTGAGGCCTCATAGCTAACCTGGCTTTTAGCTTCTATGTTGTTCAGACTGAACATGATCCTCTAACAGCCATGACTGCCAGGTGCTGAGAGCTTTGTTTACATCAGAGATAAACTGGGAAACAGTGCTTTGTTGAGATTAATGCAGATCATTAGCTTTGTTTTTTTTTATACCGCAGAAGTATAAAAAGTTATAACTTAATCTAACCAGCTCATCGTGGCTTTAGGTGTCTAAATCCCTGCGCCTGTGCACCCACATCAATACGATCACAGCGTACCTGCACAGGGAACCTGTATAACACAGATGATAGCACTGATAGGAGATAAACAAACAAAATGTGGCTGCATTACATCGGTGATGACTTAACTTTGTTCTTTGTGCCAGTTGAAAACACTTAAAAAAAATATCGGGGAAGGGTTAAGGGCGTTTTTCCAGCTATCCAGCAGCAGCCCCACAGAGGACACAATGAGTCCCAGACAGGCTTAATAGTCCAGAAACCATTCCTCCCTCAATGGGAACACGTCTTGGACACACACTCCAGTAGTTTTGTCTTGTATGTTACTATCTGTGCTAGCTGCAGAGCGCAGTGGGTCCGTGCCAGGCAAGGGTCCGCAGGGACCGTTGGAATCGCTGGGGCTGGAGGAAGTTGGTCTGAGTCCAGTGGGGCGATCTGGGCTTGGTGACAAGCCAAGCTGTCTACTGCAGGGACGCTGGGAAAATGTAAATAAGAGCCTGATAAGGGCTATTGTTTTCATTCCATTCTCATCCCAGCTGAATGGCCTGCTCCCCAGCCACAGCGCGTTTTATCTCGAGAGGGAGAGGGAAAGAAATGGAAGGGGTGGGGGTGCAAGAGATTTAAGAGCCCCCAAAGGAAAATAAAAATAAACTCACTGGACTCTTCTGTTGTTTAAGCTAATTCCCCAGTATGTGATGTCCTACTTTGAAAGGAAAAGAGCAGCTTCAAACTTCAGAAGCTTTTTACACTTACTCTTAAATAATGATGTTTGCCTTTCACTTAGTGAGGTGTGAATCATTTTTTCAAGAATGATGTTATTTATGAAGAATACAGTGTGTATCAATTCTTGACATTCTGTGTCATAATTTGACAGTTATTGTAATGCTGATACGAACAGTGTTTCTATTGGCATGAATAGTTTTTCCAGAAATAAATAGAGATATTTTAAGACACTGAAATAGCATTAATCTAAGTTCTGAAAAAAAGGGGGAAGGGGGCCTTGAAGAAAGCCAGACATCTGACTCATTTACTCTTTTCCTCAACAACATCTGCGCTAAACTTGCTCAGCTTTCACCAAAACTAATTTTGGTTAGCCGTTATTCGCAACACTGAAAGATTTTTGAGAGTTATTTTATAGGCTAATCCAGGTCATTATTCACTTCTCCCAGGTGGAAGGCAGGGAGGACAGCGGTGCATTCCAGCTGTAGTCTCTCCGGGTGGAGGACTTGGCAGGTCGTGTCTGGCCCGGCAGAGGGGATGGAGAAGTGAGGGAGCGCCGGCTCTCCTGGGAGGGAGGTGGAAGGAAGGGGGAGGACTGGAGTAGAATGGAAGCTGGCACCACATTATCTCCAACAGTTGGTGCATTCCTTAATGATCAAGTGCTAGAGAAGCATCTGTGATGAAATAGTGTGTGTGTGTGTGTGTGTGTGTGTGAAAGAGAGGGGGAGCATATGTGTGCATATTAACATATGCTCACTGTGTTTGTTTAATTCCCCTTAAAACAACTTTAAAAATAAGTTGTTTTTTGTGCTTTAGGGGAGAAAATGCCACGCACTGATGTTGCTCTTTCTGTCTGTCTGAAGATTATGATTGGAGGGGAGTTTGTTGTTCAGCAAGAGGAAGCTGTCTCACCCAGGGGTGAGTTGCAGGGTAGAGCTGTGGTCTCCCCTGCCCTTAACCTCTGTTTAAATACGGGTGATCTCTGCGCCAGGGAGGGAGTTAACACACACAAACACACAAAGCCTTTCCTCTCTCCCTCTCTTAGGGTCAAGGTGACAAACTGTGAGTTGGGAATTGGAAAGTCAATAAAGTAGAAGTAATGTTATAATGACCCCGAGCTGGAGATGTCCTGTCGACCTCCATCACACGGGAGGAAGTGGACAATCAAACAAAATGGACACTCGGCTTGATCTCTCTGAAAGCCATCTTTAAACAAGGCAGCGAGAAGAGAGGACTGTCCGTCCGTTACTCCTAGATCCTCTGAAGTCAGTGTAATTGTCAGAGGGAGTCAGTGGTGTATGGTTTGTGAAAGCAGAGGGCGAGAGATGTAGGAAACATCACTTGTCGACAATCTGAACAGTAGAATTGTTCCGTGTTGGATGAAAAAAATCAAAAACACAGGACAGTTACATAGCACATAGATTCATTTGAAATGTGAATTTGCTTATTAATTGCGTCCTTTTATTGCCAGAGCTATATTAATAAACGATTAACTTGTAGTATGTGGTTAGACTATTTATCACGGTGCCCAGGGCTTTGTTCTGATAATTAGTGTGTATGCTTTGATTTTGGATTTTGCTCCGAATCTAGAGAAACACAGTTTTACAAATTACACCATCCTCAGGCATTTTTTGGAATCTGAGGACCGTGTCTATAGAAACCAGAGAAGCAGCCTTATAATCATCAAAAAAAAAAAAACTAACAGTCCTCATTTGATTATACAATATTGCAGCCTGTTTAATGAGACTAAACAGGAATGGACTCTGCATGACTCGATCTGGTTCATTTTGGAGACAGCTGCTCAAGGTGGAGGCTTTCTTGTGCTGCTGGTGTTTGATGTGAACAGGCTGACCCCTGAGCGGTGCAGGGATGGTGGAGGCCCGGGTCAGACGGCCCAGTGTGTTCTTTATCTGCTACCCCAGAGACAGCATGGCAGATTGCGGCCATTCCTCCTCTGATTCATTGTCTGCTGGACAAATGTTAATTGTTTTCATCATTGGCAGCCATGTGAAACCTCGGACGTACCCAGCCTCACTCCTTGCCTCCCGCTTAATGTGTTGCCTCTGCCCTTATATGCTATCCCTACAATGCCTGCTTTCCTCCTCACTCCAACCTGAGCTCATCTCTTTACTGTCAGGCTGAGTCTCTTTTAATGTTTGCTGGGTAATATCAACAAATAAAATACCTTTATTTCAGATGATACACTTACTTTTTTTTATTCTCATCCAATACATTTTACACAAAACCACAAAAATACTTTAACTATATTCGATACACCCTAAAACAGGATCTCTAAATGTATTCATCATTCAAATTTATTTGTCTCCTCTTTTTTTTCTCTAGATTCCTCATGCATGGAGAAACTTCTTTCAAAAGACTGGAAAGAGAAGATGGAGAGGCTGAACACGAGTGAACTGCTTGCAGAAGTAAAAGGTAAGCCTACACTGAAGTGAGCAGATTCACCACACAAATACCTCTTTAAGCCGTGTTAACAAGTCCCTCGTTCCTATCAGGCGTACATTATCTGAGCACTGTATAATCTCAGAACCGCCTTGTACGGTGGAATTAAACAAAGGCCTTGGCTGCCCTCCTCATTCATTTCTCTGCTTCCTTATCTTTTGTTGGAATGCCCGACTCTGTCCAAAGTGCTGTCTTCAAAATTCGAGCCCATTTAGACCTAAAAGCCTACACTCTTTGTGCTTGTCAGTGGTTTATTGTTGTTGTCCCTGGGCCTTGCTTCTCCGCTGTGGCACATGCAGTATGCTCACGCTGCTTGGGTAATAGTTGAACCCAAAGTGTGCCTGATGTAAACAGCAAACAACTGAGCAGCGAGGAGAGGAGCCGTTAAAAGAGAGGAGAAGAACAGAGTTGTCTCCTCAGTCAGTCTGCGTTTGAGTGGAATGTCTCGACTCTGACAGTGAACGCCCTGCGCAGCGTATCAAGAGCCGCACGGCAACTCAACACTCCCCTCAAAATCTGTGTTTATGACAGGCTGAAGGTGGGCCGAGGAAGGGCAGGGCTGCTGCTCAGTCCTTAGCACTGACTGTTACAGAGAGCTGCTGTGTTTATACAGCACAGGGAAGCACAATACCAGCTGGCTGATAACACCAGGCTGTCACTGGCTCCTTCTCTCTCCCTTCATTAGAAGACTTCTCGTGTCTATCATGAAGACCATTCACAGACCTGTATAGATAGCTCATTTCACTCTCTATGGGATTTTGAACGTTTGCCTAATGCTTCTCTTAATAAACATGGGTGTAGAGCACTGATGCCAGTATCAATATTGGCCTCCTTTACTTCCTGAAATCTGGTATCTAGCACGGGCAGGTATGCCAGTCAATGTATGAATCAATTACATAATGTTCTACCCCCACTAAAAGTTAAGCTTTACAGGTAAATCATCATGTGACAATAACAAACAAACAAAAATACAATGCTGCCAGAGACTTTTATAATATTTAAAGCTAGCATGATGTCATCAATAAGTGTTTTTCTACAAATCTTACATCTAATTTGGTATCAAAAGGGTATTCTTTATTTGTCAATATGAAAGTCTAGGTATTAAGAAGGAAAAAAATGTATTTGAAAATCTCTGGAAGGTATACTTAAATACAACAAGTGCTTGGTTTTAATTATTGAATAACACTTAAAGAGGGAAAAAAAATTACTGCTGAATGTTCTATTAGGTATATTCATTGGCAATAACCTTAATGAACTAAAGGGTAAATCACTGCTTGGTAAACTAGATTCATTGTACCTGCCCTGGAGTACTGTATGCCACCGTAGATCAAAGAGCACCGGGTGAAATGTTTCAAATGATTTAGCCTTTTGAATGGCGGTCTGTTAAATTACAGGCAGGGCATTTCTGCTGTTTGATGAATGGGAACAGGAAGGTTACACTGTGGTCTGTAAACAGGTAGGGAGTCTGATAATAAACACTTTGGCCTCTGTCTGTCGACGAGTTATGGAGACAGTCTATACACCACAGTTACTAATATAAATGCTTCTCCTATCACAGTGGCAGCCTTAGATTTTTAATTAGCATGCCATTTCATATGACTGTAGACATTTCAAAGGGCTGCTTTGTGCTCCCCCTTACAAATGTCTCTCTCTCTCTCTGCGTTTGATGTCTGCCTGATGTAAATACGGGCAATTAAAAAGAAGCCCAGGGTTGGAGACGCACAAGGTCCGCCTAATTAAAACATAAACAAAGGTACCGAGCAGAAAACACCTTGTGATTAAGATCTAAAGTGTTATGATGAATCAGAGGTTCCATTAATTGTTAGGTTAAAATCGGTACAAAAGGCAAACATGCCTGTTGGTTTTAAATGAATAAAAGAAAGCAGAGACTAAAAGCTGGCGTGCAAATAAAGACCACAGTACCTGCTGGCACAGTGGCCTTGCTTTTTTAACGCTGATGGATCACTAATTCCTCAACCTATTATACTGAGCACCTCTTAGGGTCTTAGAAAACAAAAGTGTTCTGCTCTTAAAAAACAAATAAAATGTAAAACAATAGGTGTGACAGGATTTGACCTGAGGCTTTAACTGTGTAAAGAAAGACATTCTTTGACTGCAGTTGTGTTCAAACATGCCCTGAATACTTTATCCTGTTGAGGTGAGCGTGCATGTACAGTAAACAAACAAAACAATTGTATCAACAACATCAGACATTTGTTTTCAGAGTTTGCCAACCAAACCAAACATATAACTCTGAGAAATCTATAATTATAGCTAACTGAAATGTGGGTTTCAGATTCAGAGGTTTTAGAGTCAGTAGAAATAAGCACAATAATCTAGCAGAGGTGGTGTGCTTAAGCCAGACATGTAGAATGGTGTTATGAAGGGTTAATGATATCAAATCTCAAACTGCCTTTTCTTGTATGCTGTTAGGGGCTTAGCGCGACCAGGTGAAGGTAAGAAAAGGAGAGTTTGTGAAGGAGCATTAGTGGCGGATTTCTTTTCAGCAGTCAATTCCAGAGCTAACTGTTTGTTTTCATACCTGAGCTTAGCTGTCAATCTGCAGGAACGATGAGGAGGGAGATGAAATCTCCCGAACAAAACCACAGAGCAAGAAAGGGAGGCAGGCTGGAAGGGCTCCAAACCACAGAAAGTAGCAGATAATGGGAGGCTAGGTGGAATGAGGAGAGCTTGGAGGAGAAAAAAAAGAAAAGATTTTAGACGTGGATACTAAGACTTGACATTCATAATTATATACCTGAAAAATAATTTCTGTCATAAACATTCAAAGCCCCCCATTCACCACATGATTTATTAAGCTTTTAAGCACATACATTTTTTTCGTTCCATGTATGCATATATACACACGACGAGTCAAATGTAAATATAGCACACTGTATCCAATGGCAGATAAGGTTGCTCTGTGTTGCATGCTTGCTCTGTGCAGGGTCTTAGAGCCTCATACTCAATAGAGCTGTTTAAGTTTCCCCGCTGAGGGCTAGTCTCATGGCCCCCCCATAGGGATGGGCGGAAAAAAAGGAAAATGTTCAAGCATTTTCTCAAACTGAAGGAAATTGGAACACAAGCTGTATTCATTCTCCTGGAATTTGCAAGAAAATAAATAAATAAATAAAAGCTTAGCATTGTATACTAGAAATGGCAGCTGAGATTCTGAAGCAGAAAAATCGGGGCTCTTGCACAGTCACAATCAATTTGAGAATGGTGTCTACATGACAGAGGTCGGCTGTGCACAGACAGTCCTGTGGCAGGCAGATAAGTGGAAGCTGTTTAGGAGGAGAACACAGGGCAGGGCGACCGGGTCGGGAGCTGAAACTGATTTGATGCTGGCCGTACCTGTGATGACTTCCCCCCCCCACACACACACACACACACAGACAGGTGTCCACTGTGTGAACACAGAACCCACATTGTTCAGCTTCAATACATGATCATTCACTGTAAAATGTGACTTTATTCTCTATAGCAGCCATACAGTGTTGATGCCACAGGAGATACATACACTCCAGCAGAAAAAATAAATTGTAGAAATAAGCAGGAAAAGAATTGTGTAGAGTTTACTTCAAACTGCTTGGGTGTTTATAAAACATATTGCATATAAATATTATGTATATCCTATTTACCCAAACATACAAAAATACCCGCACAAACAGCACAAAACCGTATCTGTCCAGTTGCTCCAGTCAAAAAATGCCTCAGTTAGCATTTTCTCCACAACACTTCAGTCAACTGTTTGCCCTGTGCACTCAGGTGAAATATGAGCCACAGTAAATCATTATTCCTCAGGCCACATTTGCCAGATGAATGTATGAGAGTGTTGGACTGTGTGTTTTTCTCCTCTAATGAATTGAGGAATTTAGCTTGTGGCAATGGAGGTAAAAAGGGAAGTGCTGTCCTAACGTGTGTGTGTGTGTGTGTGTGTGTGTGTGTGTGTGTGTGTGTGTGTGTGTGTGTGTGTGTGTGTGTGTGTGTGTGTGTGTGTGTGTGTGTGTGTGTGTGTGAATTCTGTTTGTGCTTTGAATTTTATTGCACTGGTCTGTTATGGTTTGTTTAACTTGTGACATTTTTAGATGCATTATACATCTTATGCTTTTAAGCACATTATTTCTGATTTCATTTGAAGAAATTGTAAAACATTAAGATATAAAATATGTTAATAAAACGACACTAACTCCACAAACTCAAACTGTGTTTTAGATGAAAAATGAATCTTTGTTACCTCTATGGATGTAGATAAAAACATGATCTGCACTGTGAACACACACGAACACTTCACTAATGTGAAAGACAGTCTAAAAGTAAATGCACTAGGCCAAGAGTGAGTGATCTAAACATAAGTATTCAAGAAATGCTACATCTTTCTTTGTATCTTTTTCAAAGAATTAACAACTTTACATTCTTCAGGTGCCACTTAAGTGTTGAACTTTCTAATTAAATCAAAACACTACCAAACTACTTTATATTGAATAAAAATAAATAAAAATAACTTATTATGATTTCTTATAACCTTCTGTACAGGACTGGCTCATTTCTTTTAACTCAACCCTTGATTAGTGGTTGACATGTACATGTGATTTAAATTTATAATACTTAAGAAACTCAGCTCTCTTCCTCTTTATAAGCCCACCTCTCATTCTGTGTGGACCATCGGTTCTTTGTTTGAAGCTCAAGGTGTTCTCTTGGCCACATGAATACGCTCCACCACCCAAAGCCACTCTAACATTGGTTAAGTCATTTATGATCTCTAGTTAAATCTAATGAACACAACTATCATGACAGCTTCAAAATAAAGCAGGTGTTCTAATGTACTTTGTGAATATGTGTACTGGTCTGAGCTGTCTGCCATTTATATTAAACCCAAACTAAACACATGCATTGTTGATTTAAAAAAAGTACTTATCCTTTTACCCACCAAAGACAAAAGAGAACATCTTTTCAGTCCAACAAATCAATCA